TTGGAGTTACATTGCCTGCTTGTGGAAAAATGAGTGGACTTGAGAGACATCTCAAGAAAGGAGGTCGATGGAAAGGTTTAAGGAAACGCGTCGTGTCTTTGTCTTTTGATCTGCCAGAAACAAACTAATATAATTATTTGTTCTTTAAGGATCAAGTGTAGATGATGACCGTGGACTGTTGTTGTTAATTGCCTGCAAGTTGCCCCCTAACTCATGCCGACCCCCTTGAATAATGGACTAAATACTGTCTGTCCTGAGCCCTCCTCATAATTGGTTAAAGGTTAGAATGTGATGACCCATGGGGTTTTTGTTAGCAGATTTTTAGATGTGAATCTCCAAGCCTTTCTTACTCGTATGTTTTAGTCTGAAGCTCTGTTGGAACCTGTTGGCACCATAGCAACACCTCCAGTGGCCTCTGGGTGGGGGCCCTGCATGAGGTTCATTGGCTGGCAAACCGCTGATACCTTCAATGTGGACGAAGACAGGCAAGATGCATTAAAAAACTCCAGGTGCTATACCGTTGTAACGGTAAGAATACAGAGTCATAATCACAGTAGCCGGGTACCTTTACAAAATGACGTAATTTGTCTATACTTCATGACATCGGTAACGTGGAGACAGTGTTCGCATTCACTAAGACTAGAGGTCAATAGACTGGCCTTAACAGGACAGCAATGACTACTGATACCTGTAAAAGAGCAACCTCCTTAGCTGCATTAGGGCATCAGCCTACTCTGTCCAACGTCACCAGTGTCCCCCTAATATAGACTCTTTTCGGTCATCATTCCGTAGGCTTTTACACAATAGACCACTCCCTTTAGAAGTTTTCTGCTCCATCAGAGCCCTGGTGGCATAGTAGGTTGCAGGTTGGGCAACTAATCACTCTGTGGGAGAAATGAGTTGATTTGCTCCCATAAATATTTAAAATCTTGAAAATTCAAAGGAGCAGTAATACTCTGTTTTACAAGGTCACTGTGAGTCAGAATCGACTTGTTGGCCATGGGTGGGGCAAATTTAGATTCTGTGATAACCTTTCTGATTCTTCCCATGGCTCTCTGATCAATGCTTCTACTGTGCTTCCTTAATTTTCCCCTCTGCTTCTCTTACATCTGAGCGTTCCTTAGCCCTCCATCTCTGTAGTTTGCCTTTCTGTTCACTTTGCATGGTTTCCTTATTCTTTTCATCTGTTCCCATACCACCTTTGGGCCGATGTTTCCAAATCCATAGCTCTAATCCAAACCTCCTGTGTGCCCTATACCCAACAGCGAAAGCGATAAGCACACTTGGCTGTCCCAAAGGCATTTTAAACTCAGTGCATCTAAAATGGGGACCATCTTTTCTCCAGGAATATCTTTCTCCTCTTGTTTTGACTGGATATTATCCACTGGGTCACCCATGTATGATATGTACGATTCATCCTCATTGGCCTCTTTTTCCTGTTCTCCCAATTGAATCAACTGCCAGGACTGGCCACGTCTACATTCTCACCATGTTCCCAGTTCTCCCCTTCCTGTCCATGCTGCCACTGCCTCATCGCATTTTGCTGAGTCCTGCAGTTGCCTTCTAACTTGTCTCTGGTCCTGCCGTGTGACCTCTCTTCAGCCCACCTACCCCTTCCACTTTTCTGCTAACAGAGGCAGCGCTGATTATACCCAAGCTGTGAAGCCCTTGGTGACCTGCACTACTCTGTCACTCTGTCAGGTCCTCTACCCTCTCCCGGCAGCTGATGTACCATAGCTACTCATCTACTTGTAGCGCCATGTCTCAGTGCCTTTGCATTGTTTATGTTTCAGCCTGGGATGCAACTGCCCCCTTTCCAAATTCAAACACATGCCGTTCAACTCTTCCCGGATCATTGGCTCAGTCCTTTCTTCTATCCTAAGTAGAGTTAAGTCTTTGCTCCTTTCCATTTCCACAGTCTACACACACCACCATTATAGTGGGGTTTTCTTTGGATTTCCTTCATCTACTTCTCTCACTAGACTGTGAGCTCCAAGAGGGTAAATGCTGCCGTCTATTGATCTTTATAAGCCCAATCTCTAGAAGACTGCTTGTTCAAACTACACACGAAGTAGCTGTCATTTAAGGAGCTCTGATGTTGGAAAGGGTTACCTTGGGCTGCTAACCACAGGATCTGCGGTTCACATCCACCAGTTGCTCCCTGGGAGAAAGGCGAGGCTTCCTTTTGGGGTACATCTGCCCTATCCTTATAGGACCTGCTATGAGTCAGAATCGATCCCAGTGAGTTTTGTCTGTCTTTATCTTCTTTTCCTTCAGCTATTGGTTTATTTTTGGAAGATGTAACACGAGGGCCCAGCAGTTCAATCGATATTAGGTTTCCTAGTAGCATGCGGATATATAATTACCTTATTATTT